CGACGGTCGGCACGCACACTACAATTCAATTATCCAAGAATATTATATAAATACGGGTTTCCAACCTCTTGCAGAGGGCACTGCCCGCGCTATTTGAATGTAGCGTTGGTATCAAGCACATATAGGTAACGGTTACACTATATTTGAAAAGACAATCTGGGCCATAAACTTGATAAACAACATTATGTAGGCTGTTGATTGCAGTTGGATCTTTTCTTTTCTTAATGTACCGACTGATATTCCCAGCTCATCTGACAATTCGTGATATTAAATTTATTAATAAATTTGTGCATGTTCGTCTTCATTCTATCATCACTGCATGTTCTAGAAATGAAAATACTGCCTCATTTAAGTCGCTAGTATGCCTAATAGTCGCGGCGCTTCGTCGATATTTATGGGAGCTAGCGAACGGACGAAGTTTCACATTGTGGTCGCTGGAGCGCTGGTCGCTGACCATTCGCGAGACCTTCGGGCCGCTTTTATGTGTGGAAATGCATGCACTTCGGGCAATTTTGGTCCCTTACAGTGAAATAAGGCATTGCAAACTCAGTATGATGGCAATACTAATATATCTCTGTGCAGTTTAAAAGAAATTGTGAAGTGAATATTTCATGTAACCCTCAAATTGGCATGCTTGAAATCTACATCCTGCAGCAGTAATTCCTTTTCAAGTATAAAATTCAATATTTATTCTTAATTATTTGTGATGCTTACTGTATTTTCATGTGTTTATAGAGAACTATTATACATATAATGCCTTTCAACTTTTTAAAGGCATTGAATGAAAATAAAAAAATAGCTAAGTATTACACTTAATTTTAAAAAAATGTTTTATACATTTTTTTATTTCCTGTTTTGATTCTTTAAACTCTATTACACGCTCGATAAGAAGAAGTAGAAGAAAACATCATTAAATAACGGGAAAAACTAGTTCTAAAACGCACGACGGACGCCGACGTAAATAACACTCAAGAAAGTTGACTCATCAAAAAGCTCTCCAAATCACTATTGCCCTGGCAAAAACATTCTCACCTAGAGATAGAACCAAAAAGTTACTTACAACTAGCAAAATTCAATTGGCGCTCTCGTGAACGTACACGAGAAGAGATTTTCATGAAGATCAACTGACGTACAGGTTAGAAATACTTTACGTAGACCGCTTCCAAATTCCACAACAATGATATATCAATATATCAGACATCGGAAATAAAAATTAACAGATAACATCTCGTATATTCCATTGACGTTTTGTGAGAAAATATATTACTTTTGATTGCAGATTGTTACAGTATGAGAAACATCCAAAGCTGTGTAAGACAATCATTCACAGTTCTTGAGCCAGTGCGTTCTCATTAATTGTAAACAGAAGCTGTTTGTGCTATTTGTGAGTCATTTTTTTCGTGTCGAATTTTGAGAATAAACTGAATTTTTAGGTAGCCGATGCAAGCCATCTTTAAATAACTCTGAAGGTAGTCGGTGTTAGCACAATTTATTGCGAAAGCTGTACCACAACTTCCAAGGATTGATGTAAAAAGAAATCTTCAAAAATATGTTAAGCCAGATTTCCAAAGAATTAGTTTCTTTGCGTGTGACGAGAGCGCAGTGCATTTAATAACGATCATTGACGTAAATTGTGAACATTTTGTAACACTGATCATGAAGAACATTGCTGTTACTCATGAAGTAATGGAGACGCGTAAGTACTTGAATTCCAAGCCTCGAAGTCGGAGACGTTTTATGTTTGTAACGCGGATCTCCGTATATTTGAATGTAGCAGTCGATCGAAGAATGGTCGGCAAGCAGCGCGCCAGCGGTGAGTAGCGGAACTTTTAGCGATAACAAGACACAGGCCGGAGCGTTGAGGTTTTTAAGTATACTAGCGAGCTATGGTCTAACACTTCTTCTGGAGCTATTGGGTTATTTCTTCCTTATTTACCTTCAGTCTCCAACTCCATAAGAAACCCATCCTCTAAATATAATATCATCTCCAATTTAAAGACTATTGGAAATTTCAGGCGGTACATTAAGGAAGGAAAAGAACCAAATCCTAACAACATGCTACGTAATGTTTTTTATCAAGGGTGATTTATAAAACTTTCATTCAAGTGAAAAGTGTTATTATTTTTTCAAAACGTCCGTGTGTCCTTCCGTCCGGCAGTTAACATCAACAGCGCCTAAATTTATCGCAGTGTTTTCCAAAATGGATATATGCGGGTCGATCAGGCTCCACCCAAAATTAACACGATGTTTTACATCTCTTTCGCATCGTTGTTATTTACATTCACAATGATTTGTATATGTTACTACATTTATGAATACATGGGATTCAAATTATGTCTTATAACGTTTCTCGAAAACTAACCATTTTTAGCTCATATTTCCGCATTTTCAGAAACGATCAAACGGATTTTTTTTCAAAAACGTCTCCAGTTTGTTTCTTAAATTGTTGTATGGATAATGCTAAATACACTACTTAAACTGACAGAAATGTCATTTAGATGTATACTTTTGAGTTTCGAAAATTTTGTATATCTACTCTTATTAAATTTCTCATGTTGTTAATACTCAGGTTTTGGATACATTATTGCATTTGTGTGTGTAAGTGCTTCGAATGACTTCCAATAAAGTTTCTCGAACTCAAAATTTTTCGGTGTAAAAGAGTTTCAAGGGTCTCAAAAACATTTTCTAAATTTACTCAAAAATGATCCTAGTTTTTTAATTAAACCTTGTCATTGGATAGCGTAAAGGACGCTTAAGAGAATGGTATAGATTACATGTTCGTTGAAACCACAATTGTTTTGAAAAGGACGAGAATAATGCAGGTCACGAGTTCGTTGAAAACTCTGAATTTTTGAAAATTTCAAAAGTTCAAAATTACTTAGGGGCCTAACTACAACTAAAATATTAAAGATAGACATTTTCCTACTAATGAAGTTTGTTCTTAAATGATATATTATAAAATAAGGTCAAATAGAATGTGTCGAAAATTTGAGAACTTATCGCGTAATTTTGCTTGAAAATACGGACGAGAAAGTACGTGCTCTTTTAGTACCACAAGTTACTTAAAAGTTTCGTGAGAATGTAAAATTAATGCTTACTGAAAAATTGGGGGAGGGGTTTCCCTCATCCCCCCCCCCGCGTGGATCCGTGTCTGACTTAAAGATGTCAACATCAGTGTTGCCAACGCTGTGAAAGGAAATTATGGCGTATTAAGTAAAAGGCCTTTTCGTACTGGTATTTAATAAACGCCACCTATATGGATCGATTTAGGACGATTTGGGTTAATTCCTAGCATTATCACTAAGATCGCAGCGCCAAAAATCGGAAAAATACGTTCTTGGAAATTTATTTGAGTCTTCTAGCCGAATCCGAAAACAAATCACCCGTTCCCCATCAGGAGACTGACACGCGTAGAATGACATCTCATATGCCTCAGTTGGTGCTCCAGAAGTGGTCTATCCGCGAGTGAAGGAATCGCACACATCCGCACATACGCGCATTCAAGGCATTTACTCGAATACTAAATAGCAATTGGAAAAACGTTGTGTCTTGCTTTGTGAAAATCCAAAGAATGAATGGTGTAGGTGATGAATACTTCTGCGAAGAAATCTAGTAGTTCATCTTCTCGAATTGCATGTCTTCTGGCGTCATTCTTTCCAACTTCGTCTTTGGACTGGGTAATTCATGAGACCTGCACTATTCTCTTAAACGTCCTTCAGACTATCCACCGACAAAATTTCATCAAAAACGATGGAGCCGTTTTTGAGGAAACAATTTTTGAACAAACATTTTAAATTACCTTTGTTTTATACAATATCACACGGAAAATTTTCGAAACATTGTATTTGTCCTAATTTTAAAATCAACCTTTAAGGATCAGATTTTATTAATTTTAAATATTAATTTATTATTTTTAAATATTAATTTGAAAATGTCCCATGGGCTTCATGTACAGTATCCTCCAGAATTAAAATATCTATTTCAAATTCTAAGGGCCGCGACATCACCCAGATCAATTGGCGAATGTCAATTTTGGAGAAAATCTGTTGAACGGTTAAGCCGTTAGCGTTGTTCACAGAGACTCGTTTTGACGTCAATCGATTTTTCGGTATCAAGGTCCCACAAAGCAGGGATTCTGCCTATTCCACGTGTTAGAGGTTTTTTTCTAAATTTAGCAACTAGCAATTTATCCACTTTTTCTTTACCAAGGCCCTGTAATAACAGGTTTTTTTTCTCGCGGCATACATAACTTTCTCTTAAGAAGTTCGTTCTTAAGCGCGAGAAAGTAAAAATAACGAATTCCTGAAGATTGTAGAGTTGTTATCCTTCCAAAAACGGTTTCTCTTTCGGTGCTCTAGGCCAAAGAGTTTCTCACAAAGCTTTATTGACAAGATACGTGTGTTTAGAGAGAGCCCTGTGTTGTCCACTGACAATTCAGTTGCCCTCTGCTAATACAAGAAAGGTTACCAGCTGCTCTAGTGAATTTCTCGAGAAATAGGAAAACAGTATGCAAATAGTATTCGTTCTGGTCGCTTTTATAGATATTTCGTTTATTTGGAGTAGCGTAGGCGTACGAATAACTTATTCAACCTGGAGAAGATGTATTTATTTTTCACAATGTAAACTACAATACAAAGATTTACACATTCATCAAAGAATATAAAATTAATAATACTGAATCGGCATTTTTGAAACAAGCCTTTTAAGTAATAAAAACAGTCATTATAATTACTAGTTTCGACGGAACCATAAACTAGTTCATGAAATATATTAAGAGTATTCTTTAAAATTAGTGAAAAACAATAATTGAAAACAAAACAAGAAAATGAATTACAATTAACTATATAACTTCCTCAGTATCACTCTTTTCGAATTTTAAGTACGTTCTATGGACTTAATTCCGATCCGAAAAGAATTTTGAAAATAATGTCACTTCAGTGATATCCGTAACTAAAGTTAGCAAAACAGACCCCCTCTTGGTCGTTTCGAAAGATAATAACATTAGAGGCGATATCGTCCTCGCCCATTTCGTCGACAGCCGCCAGCCACCGGTGCGGTGCGGTGTTAAACGACTGGTGTGCGCTGCGAGGGCCTTGTCCCAAGGAAACTTCCCGACAGAGGAGGAGCACGAGGTTCTCTGAGGAGCTGCACATGTTGAACGAATTTCAACAATTCAAACGAAGCCAAGACGAATTACGTAAAATAATAACTCAATCATTACCGCCGCCAAAGAAGATGTAATTATTGCTGATCTCCTGTTTACAGAAACACTTCATTGTGCTCATAACACTTGACATTTTCAAAGACCGTCACTTTATCCCAATAATATACTTCGCATCAAATCAGTACATCATTATTTCCTTCGGTCGAAGTACAACCTCAAACCGAACGTACATTTTAGACGTGATCAGCCGTTATAATTTCTCTACGATTTCCATTTCCCCTGTTTTTCAGAAGTTGGTCACCCTGCGAACGCGTTGAGGCAGGAGGTGGACGAGGTGTCTGTGTCGTTGCGCTGCTCCGGCCCCTGGGCGTGGCTCTCGGGGGCGGGGGCGGACAGGCAGGCGCCGGCACTGGGTGCTGGAGGGGAGCTTTGGCGGGGGGCCTTGCCCCCTCGCAACAGCAGCCTCTCCAGGGCGATGAACGGGGCTTCGATGAGGATGGACACCGGCAGCGCCAAGGCAAACGTCAGCGCCAAGTCAGCGACGGTCATCGGAATCTAATGGAAAAATACGTATTCACTCCGAAGAAACAGTGCAAATCGTGGATGGGGAAAGATAGGAATATTTTTCGAAAGTTGTTCACGTCGTACTATTAATATGTTTGTATCATGGAGCATTTCTGTCTTAACCTCGCAGTGCTTAGATTTTCAAATAACTGTCAACTATTACTGATATGTGTAATGTGCTAAGACATCTACCTTTATTATTATTTTTGACCATAGCTCATGACTAGTCTCTCCTTCTCGGTTTCGAGTAACTTCTTTACATGAGTATACTAACCAAACATTTTTGTCAACGACAAAGTACAAAACATTTGATAGGCTCTTAACTTTTGAATTATTAAATTTTAGGGCTAATTTTACGCTTTAATTTGTATATGTAAACCTGTATGATGTTCATTGGACATAGACAATAAGCATTAGACATAAAAGCCAATTAACAGTGAAAATTATTATGATTGATAAGAGGTGTTCCGTGTAATAAGGGAGTTATAATGAGACTTACGGTGACGACGTCAGTGGCGACGGTGGTGCCTCTTGTGCTCCAGCCCTGGATGTCCTGCACGACGGGGTGCAGCAGGTAGACGGCGAAGGAGAGGCGGGCGAGCACCACCAGCGGCCCCCACGACAGCAGCGCGTTGAGGCGCGGGGCGCGCCCCGCGGCGCACAGCAGCACTACGGCGCCCACGGCCAGCGCCCACAGGGGCTTGGAGAGCGCCACGAAGAGCGCGGAGCCCCAGCGGGAGTAGTGGTCGCCCGCTCGCAGCGCCCCCGTCATCGCCAGCGGGAGCCCCAGCAACACCAGCACCGCACTCGCCCACAGGGCGCGCTCCAGCCATTGGCTGAGCGCCTGCCGCCCGCCCACCACGCGCGCCGCCCACGCGCCCACGCCCATCCCCACCACCCACGGCGCAGCGCGTGTGTGCGCCGGGATGTACACCCTCTCGGCGTGCGCCAGGTTCTTGATCGGGCTGCAAACACAAGCACGCGCGAAATGTACTTCACGCTCGACAAGAGTCAAATACCTCGAAAAATAACAGATAAATTTGACTACTTATAGAAAGAATGCATCAATTAGCGGTTTTGTTACGTTGAAACTACTGTAGCAAAGTGAAATGGAAACAACGTGGAAAACAAAAATTCGGAGATGTGTTCTCGACTTTTGAAGCGCAAGCCTAATACAAGTTTAGGAGAGAAATTCTTCAAATTACTGTATGCAGGAAGAATGAGAACACTGAATGTAAGTAGGGCACCTTTGAAGCTTCAAGTACCTGTGTTTTAACACACGAGTGAGTCTGTCTGGGTTCGCAAGTGCAAAGGAAGGAGCCATCGGAGAGGCGAGTCTCTGCCAGTGACGTGACCTCTCTAATGTGAGGAACTACGAGCGTCGGAGTGGGCAGACTTAAGTTTTTGGAGAGCACATCCGTGTACAGTGACTGTGTATAGGTACTTCTGTCTACACCGCCTGTGCACGTTGAGGTATCATTTGGTTGGAACGTTGTAATCTTGGCTACTGACTGGTGTATCTTCTGGTAACGGCCACCGTGCTTCGATTTTGGTAATTCTCCAGGGTATACGAGTATTGTAAACGGCATTGTAATTGATGAGAGTTGGAACTCGAAAATTATAAATTTGAAAATTAAAATTAAAATTAGTTATTGGTAATTTTGTGTGCATTTTTTGGAACATTACACTCTCCATGGGCGCACCACGAGCAATTTCCCGACTTCAATTATTCTGAATGTCTTGTGAAACATTCAAATCCCTTCTCTTAAATTTCGGCAACACTGTCAATTGAGAAAAATAATAAAATATTAAATTTAAAACAGTGAAACGTGAACGTCTACGAGGCATGATGTTCGCTGTGCAGAAAATAATTTGAGTTTTGCTTTGGATACAGCGCTCACGAAAAGATCCAGGAATCGTGCAATTTTGGGTGTAGCAGCTCTGAACGAGCTGCTGGAATGCAAAGGGAGGCTCAAACCATGCAGATATTTGCTCCCGCTGCTGCACCTGCACGCCAGATTCAGAAGCGCATTACGTCACCAGGGACACTTTCTTGTCCAGCCGGTGGCCTTCAAACGATCGAAAATCAAAATGTGACCAAAGCGAACTGCGAGTGACGGATCGTACGCTCCACCAGCGACCCTCGACCTATGAGCAAAGACACAACCCACTCCTCACGTGACCACACGGGCGCTCGAGCTGGATTCCGGGCAAAACGGTCCACCACTCCTGTTACAACGACGATAAGTGCTTTCAGCACCAGTACTTTACACAGTTTTGGCATGCACAGAGAATATTTACTTTTGACTAGTGCAAATAACTCGTAAGTATCAAGAATGTTAAACTGGAGAAAGATATTAATCCAACAACATTGATACGGAAATGTTAATGAAACAAGTACCACTTTGGCATCACCCATCTCAGAAATCGGGTTGCAAAAACGAAACCACTAGAATTATTATTTCATATATAAGTATTCAATATTTAATCTACGATTACTCTGGAGCATTTTTTTACTACCTCGTGAACGTACTTATAAACGGAGTATTTTTATACCTAGTATAAAATTATGTAATGCAGCGGAAATTCGCTTCGGGATTTCAACAGAAATACACGTTTTGGGGATCTCTGGTACCGAAAAAGGATTTTTTTTATAAAACACTCGTGCGTACGCCTGTTTCTCCGTCCATCAGTGAACAACACCAGCGCATAAATTATGCGTAGAATTATTTACAAAATAAATACTCCGTGGTCGATCGGGCCCGATTCAAAGTTGTGCGACTTTGACAAACATCCTTTAAAAAATATAGCCGAATAAGAAGATGAAAAGGACCCCCAAACAAAATCGATAATCGCGATACTCATATGAAAGACAATAAAAAATGCCGCAGATGCCCAAAACCCCATCATCCTAGGGCAATCACGTGCAGAGGTACAATAATTGATCGATGATCGATCGTGTTTCCGGTCATGTGAAATACTAAGAGTCATTAGTCCCGTAAGTGTAGTGATTTTTTCTTGGGAGCGTACGGTGGACGTTTCCCGCGGATGGCGAGATCCGGCGTCAACCTATTGTCGGCTAGCGGGATTTTTCAACCAGGTATCTCCCACCAGTGCGGACAGCCGGGACGAGCTCTGAACTTGCAGAAATACAACGAGAAACGTGTTTTTCACGTTTTTCTCAGCTTCTAGTACATGTATCAAACAGAAAAGAAATGTAGAGGCGAGGGGAAAACGTTGACTTTGAAGGTATTATTGTCAACCAATTGGGCGCCAAATTTCAATAGTTTTTTCAATTTGAATTTCGACGTGATAAAGTTGGAGTACTGTCTCATTTCCCTTCACTATTATATGTCTCATAACACGCTATAATATATATACATATATATGTGTGTATATATATGTATATATACTGTGGCGTTATGGGATTGCGCGACCCCATAACACCACTGTCTCATGTGTGAACACTACGGAGGGCAGCGGGATAACAGACGCTTTACAGGCAGAGGTACTTAAACGCGCGGCCTGGTATCCGTTGCCCGTACTAAACGAATGAGAACTAGCGAGCTAGTGTCTTTGCATGTGAAGGGTGAGAAAGGAAAGCAAACCCCCCCTCCCCATCACGGAGAGATTCCCCCAGGCGCCGCCGCCAAAATACGCGAACCCGCAAGCGAAGCTCTTTTCTTGCCACCACGCGGTTTCGAGTAAGCAGCTGCTCTTTTGATCACCGTTCGACGAGTCAAATTGTTCGTAAACATTAGATATTGTTATACATTGTATATATTCGCGGTCCGAACAGGACGTTCTAGTTAGTCGTTCCCGCGAGATTAGTGCAGATTTTAAGTAGTGTTTCTTCAATTAACAAAAACACGGGAAGTTAATGTACCCGTTGTGAAAGGAAACATTAAAAGTTCTGGCTTTTGTAAAAGTGAAAAGTAGCAAGAGCGAGAGCTTGCACGAGTATTCCGGTAAAGGCAAGGACGGTTTTCGCAACGTGCGGCGTAGTCAGATGGCGCCCGGTAGCAGACGAGGAAGAAGAGAGCCGAGGATCCAGGCGGCACGTGGAAGAAGATGGAACGGTTGGTAGGAAGAACAGAAGAGGACGCCAAGAAAGGGCAACGCAGACGACAGAGGCGAAATCCCGTCTCTCTTACGACGCAGAGCCGCACCGAACGCTGTCAAACGCAGCACCACGCGCACGCCACCAAGGCCAAAAGCCACGAGTAACAGTTAGGATCCGCAGAAAATAGGTCAAGTTCACGTCGGCAGGGAAAACTAGTTATAGGAAATGTCAAGAATTTGAGGGACACGGTGGCAACCAAATTACAGTATTATATTAGAAGACGTTTGATGGCCATTATGCCTTGCCTAAAAACATTCTCTACTTAGGGAACATTTATTTATTTCCTATTGCAGACACAGTTAAATTGTAAATTAGAGTAGTGCACTTTGTACACATTTTGTTTTTACATTAATATTTGAAGCGGAAGGATTTGTAAATTGAATTTTTATTTCATGTGAAATGTATTAGGGATAGCCACAAATGTAGATATAATTAATTTTTCCAAGGGAATTCTCCAGTGTTAGTTTAGGGTAATTTATTTCAGAGTATCAATCTTGAAGTAAATTATGTGTTCATTCAACATGAGTGTGTTTGTAAAAGGTTTCTATCTGTGTTTGATTATTCTTTGTAAAAGTGTGATTCTATATTCTTGGTTTATGTCATTAAACTTCATGCACAAAAAAGTTTATGGTAAATTAATACGCTCGTTTGTGTGCAATCTGTGAGTGATTTTATTGTGTCCAAGGGTTCAAAACCTTTCCTTCGCACCTGAAGGATCCTGCTCCTAGATTTTTAAAGCTCGCTTCACGAGCAAAAATCTTGATAACCCGCTTACGGTTCATGCCTGCTACTGTGATGTGGTAAGTTGTACGAGAGAGGGTGAGTATGTTAGAATATATATATATATATATATATATATATATATATATATGTATATATGTATATATATGTATATAAGGTTGTATATTTTTTCAGATTTTTAATGAATGTGAACAGTTGTGAAAAAATGAAAATTAATTTTATAAGTTTGTGAGTCAGTTTGCAGTCAAATTGCGAACGTTTTTTAAAAAAATTGGCATTTTCTTACAAATACAAAATTGAAGAACAAACTTTCTTCAAATGAAATTTGTTCTCCACAGTTAGTTCATTAAAGCCTTCTATCTCTCACGTCATTAGTATTACATTATAAACATTTGTTTTCCATTGTCGCATTTGTGAGTACACATCGAATAATTTCTTATTAAGTTTGTCGAAAAATAAACATTTTTAGCGGAAATGAGCTTTAAAATGCGTATTTATTAAAAAGTTCAAACTATTTTTTCTCAAAAACAACTTTCAAGTTTTCAACGAAAATTTTCATTGATGATCACACATTACTCTTCTATTATATTAAGTCAAAGTTAAAATCAGTACCATTATTGGGGCGAAAAATTGAAAAAAAGTTCTTAAGCAGATATCCCAGACCAGTGAGTTAAGAAAACTAACTAGTACTAAAATCATTTTGTTCTTAACCTCATTATTAACGTTCATTATATAGTTAAAATGTAGTGGTTGTAGGTCGATTTGTGGCGTCGAGTTCCAATCAATCTATGGAAAGCAATCGAGGTTTCGTCGTCTAGCGCGACAGCGTGAGGTTAAAATTAGTGAAGCAAGTGAAGAGTTTTGTTCGAAGTACGAATGGTTTAATGCAAAGATGCGCGAATGTGTATAAACCCCTCTCTGATAATAATCTCAATTTTGGGTCCCTTTTCAAAACAAAATCAGTAATTATAATTGGTATATCACACATTATGAATTTAATGTAAAGTAGCAGGATATTCTGCGTGTGTCTTTTCCAAAACGTGTGTACCTACATGTAGCAAGGTAAATATATTCGTAAAACATTTTCAGAAACATGTTCTCAGTTCTGTGTTCCCAGTGAATTTTTATTTATTGATCCAGAGTTTGAAAAACCTCCTAATTTCATTAGTCTTGGACGATAATACCGAAAGACATGAGACAATATTTTTGGAGATTTTAATTTTCCTTACAGTTACTTGTTGCATTTATTCTGATAAATTTTCTGCAGTAAATATTTGTCTCCAATGCAATGACCGGGTCCCTTTTAGTAATTATAATATATGTTTAAAGTTAGAACGAAGGACTCTAGTTTTAGCACACACTCTGGGGTGAAGAGGAGTAATGAATCAATAAGAACAAGCGTATTATAAGGAAGACGTAATATCCAAATTACAGCGCTCTTCAGCAGTTGGCGAAAAATTTGGATGCAAATTATAATTTACTTTAGTACGTAGGAGTATATTTTAAGGTTTCAAAACTAAAAGCAGAAAAACGAAAAAAAATAAAATAACTTACTACTTTGTAAACAAAAACGAGAGTGTTTGTTTTCATATTTCAATGTAATAGTTATTTACGCAACAATGGTGATATAAGAGGTCTAATGATCGAGCGGCGACTAAGTGCCCGAGGGCCTTTGGCTCGAGAGCTATTTGTTTCCCGAGATCATTAGAACTAGTTAACGCCCTGATACATGAGTTATTTTATTTTTACCTAATATTATTGATTCACATTTATTTATTTACTAATTAACTAGATGTTAACTTCACTGTTTGTCGTTTCGTATTTCCCTCCTATAATTCCATCCATAAGAGATCATAAAGCATCATTGTACTGTTTTCATATTTCTCTCGTCACCACGATCCTTTCGATTCAGCTAAAGTTATGCAGTGTATATCGAGCTCCAAATCGAAGGCAATAACAAGCTCTAATTATAAATAAAAAATAAAATATGTTTTCTTGAAAATATAAAATCTTACAAACCACACGTAAGAGAAACTGTACAAATTTTTTCTCTCGCATTTTCTAAAAACACAAGGTATATAAGGTAACATAAGCCCATTTTCTAAAAAGTTGCTAGGGTAAGTTATTTAACAATTTAAATAATGGTAAAAACATTCATTCCTATACATGTGAATTCGTGAAGCTATTCAATCTTTCGGCATATTAGGGAATTATGAGAATTATGAAGAATAAAGGAGAATAATTGTACTTAACGTTGTTTTCCAACCATGTTAATACTCGTGTAATTACAAATTATGACACTTTATCTCAACACGTTTATTTTATATTGAAATATTTGTTGTCTAGTATACTTACTCGCCAACTGGGTTGGGTGCTGGTGAAAGATCGTAGATCACGACTATAGCGAAGGGAATCGCTATAGACAAAACCAAGAAGAAAGCAAACACCAAGCGTCCATAGCTGAATTTTCCAGTGTTCCAGTGATCAACCAATGGAAACAAAAGAAGAGGAGAGATGAGGTAAAGCTGTATGTCCACTGCCAGGTACCAGGAATGTCCGACGCACTGAGAGAAAGAACGTTAATTTTTCAAATCACCGATAAAACAAAAAGTGAAAAATGTCAGATTCTTAAAAAATCTACAATCTTCGTACTTACCATGTTGCGATTGTTGTAGTAATTGTGAATGTAAAGGAAGTTTGGCCACCAGTTTGTACGGCATGAGTTGACATCAAAGGCTGAAAGCTCATCCCACAGAGGGCCTTCTCCAAAGTAGAGAAGTCCGCCGGCATATAGCACTATCACAAATGCCATAAGCGGTGTCAATCTACAACAGAAATGTCCCGGTCAGTTCTTGGTAAGCAAGGTAAGGCAAGTATTTCATCCGCATGTACTTCAAGGCCTTCAATTCTACGGGAGAATTTTCTAACCACGTTGAAAATACGATCGAACTAACGTGCGAGGAACGTGCCTTCCTCGTGACCACGGGTGTACAATGAATACTGTTATGTAGTGTCTTATAATATTAATCTTCTTTTCACAAAAATGGGATTAAAAATATTATATAAATAATACAATTGATTTATTTTATCTTTAAATATTCGCATCGAAACAGGGAAAGACATGTAGGCCTAAAGTTAGTCCCTGAAGCGAGTCCTTGATTAAGCCATGGAAATCATTCACATGGACGATTTTGATAGGTGTAATTTTTGAGCCAACGACCTTTTGTTCCTCCGAGTTAGGGTATTATCATGTTTTGCACAGGGATCACAGAATCCCAACAACTCGCTTAAAACACTGTGTGAGTGTAAATACGATTAAGTTCACGAGGTCGAAAGTTAGTTCCTGAAGCAAGTCAAAGGAAAAGTCACGGAGATCATTCACATGAACAATAATAAGAGTTTGTTTTTTTTTACCGATAGGACTTTTGTTTCTCCGTTTAGGTTTTGCTTTGCAGAGGGATCATAGAATTGCAGCAACTCGCTTAAAACACTTCAAACGATGCGCGTACCGGATGTATCTGTGCAGGTAGAAGGTGGGCAGCCAGGAGCGCAGCTGGCGGAGCGAGCGCGGCTGGCGGCGGCGGGTGCAGGCGAAAGAGTAGGCCAGCACGCACCCGGCCAGGCAGAGGAAGGTGTCGACGGCGAACAGCCCGGCCGGCAGGTACACGTGCACCCACTGCTTGAGGCGATTCGGCAGCTCGCGCTTGTCCAGCACGGGCAGCTGCGCTATCAGCGCGTCCCGATGGCCCATCACCACCCACACCATGGACAGCGTGCGCAAGCCGTTGGCCGCCGACATGCGCGGCAGCGCCCAGCTCCAGTCGCTGGGATCCTTCGCTCCCACGCACTGCACACAAGGCACAACTCTCATCACTCACCGTAACTGCTAATACATGAGAATGATATGACATATCCAAATGATACACTCTCGTCCAACAAGCTAGAATATACTACATAGAGTGGCTGTCCTTATAGTTTCATAGAGTGGGGTCCTTCGCTCCCACGCACTGCACACAAGGCGCAAATAACATTAGACATCATAACTGCTAATAAATGAGGCAGGGTAAGGCGAGTTTGGTTGAGCAAGGGGTGCAATAGATAGAATTCATTTTTTCTTTCCAAACACTCTCGTCCAACGAGCTAGAATATACTACATAGAGTGGCTGTCTTTATAGTTTCATAGAGTGGAGTCCTTCGTTCCCAAGCACTGCACACAATGCACAACCCTCATCACTCATCGTAAATGGTAATAAACGAGGCAAGGCAAGGCGATGCTGGGTAGGGTGAGTGGGTATAACATTAGAAATTATTGCATTGCTATAGGCCTCCGAGCGACGGATAGAACTTTTTTGATGACATCATTCAGAGAACGGAAAACGAGAATGACCTATTGTTATTGGAGGCGAGGTAAATATTCCTAGCACAAACTGGGAAGGAGCCCTGAGCAAACAAACACTTGTGGACAGTCTCGTTTGGACAACGAATTAACTCAGGTAGTTCGGAGCAGGACGCGGCAGGATGCGATTTTGGATGTCTACTTAATTAGACCGAAATAACTTTTCACATCTTGTGAAGTTGTTGAGAGCATTATCGATCACAAAGCGGTTCTTCTTGTCTTAGACGAAAATATTTCAAATAAAGGCATCACGATAGGAACAGAAATTAATGAATTCAGGCATATATCCCAGGTGGAGATTTCCAAATTCGCCAAGAGTTTTCTTTCGGAGCAAGCATTACGTCAGGAAGATCGCCATTGGACCTTTTTTACGTCATTGCAACCTTGATTACGTCATTGCGACCTTGATTACGTCATTGGACCTTTTCTATTTCTAGCGTTTGTCAATGATCTGCCAGCGCACTTCATCTCCAATATTCCTCTAATTTCAGACGATTGCATAATATATCGTTGTATGAATTCGAAAGAAGATGAAGAAATGCTGCAACGGGATCTTGATATGTTATACTACTGGGCGGAAAGTAATGAAATGACAACATATAGCTCTAAAAGCAAATCCATCACTTTTGGCAGGAACCATAGATAAACAAATTACCGTTTAAATAACATTATACCGAGAGTTTACTCATGAACGTACCTAGAAATCCATTTTGATTGTAAATTAAGCTGAAAAACTCACTTTGATTTTGTTGTAGGAAAAGCCTGGAGATATCTTCACTTTGTAATACGCATTTTAAAAAAGAATGCGGCAAACGCGAAAGAAATTGCTTATTCATGGTTTCTTCGACCAATAATTAAATATTGAACATTGTTTGGGCATTCGCACAAAAGTATGATGTATAAAAATTTGGAAATAATTTAGCGTAAGACGGCTAATTTACTTTCAGAGTCAAAAAAATGGCAGTTTGTTATTCACTCGAAAACTGGCGATCATTAGCAAGACTATGATTTGAATAAAGCTTACAGTGGTCATCCAGCTTGTAAATAAATTAATCGGTGACTAAGTATTCCTACATACATCAGAAGGGGGTATCACATGCACAAAATAAATTTGAGGGCGCAGAAAACGGATGTTCTGGAAGAATTCTTTCACAAATCGAACGAGAATGGAATACATTGCCTGCAAAAAAACATTGAACCCTTTTCTCAAAACGTTCGACAATTTTGGAAATTAATTTTACTTTATTTATTACTAAGTAAAAGAGGGATCTAACTAAGAATATTCAGTAATTGAGCGATGCATAAGTGATATATTGTGAAGTGAGGTGTCGTGCAGTGTAGAGCAGAGAAATAATGATGGAAATGATTTAAGTGTCATAATGAAGTGAAGTGAAGTGAAGAGTAGTGCAGGTGTTGTCTTAATTGAACAAACACTGAGTGCGGAGTTAGATTATATAAGTTTATTTTTCTTAAGGTTATTTAATGTTTTATGAATCAGTCAATTTTATATTATTAATATTATTATTATTAATATTACTATTATTATGCCATTATGGTTAGTCTTATCAGTTGGTACTATTGCTGCTATGATTATTATTGTGCGAATATTCTTGTTATTAATATTATTACCTAATTTGCATGTTAGATATATTATTGTATTTATGAAATTAGCTGCCACCAAGTTATTCCTAATTGCAGTTTTAAAAAAAAATTATCTTTATCCTATCTTTAATATATCTCAATTTCATTCTTTCTACTGTTTACCTTTTCCGATATCAGGGGAAAACAAAACGACATTTCTAGTTCAAGAAATCGCTGTTTTCTCTGACGTTAACTTACTTTCTCTACACTACGAAATAGAAATGAAAACTTTCAGTGAATTTCATAAAGAAGTATTTTCGCCTCACCTCCACCGTGGCCTGTGTCTCGCCCGAGTCCCCAGCTCCTGCCGCGCTACGAAAACCACCCGCGCTCCCAGCCTCAGCTGCCCCAGCGCCCCCTGCCACTGGAGAGCAGTGGTGGGGGCGGGGGCGGGGGTCCGGCGCCCCGCTGATCTTCCTCCAGGCGGTGACGGGCGACATGGCGTTGGCCGTCTCGGGCGAGGGCTGCCAACCCACGGGCAGCCTCCGCCGCACGCCCTCGTACGTCAGCAGGAACCAGCCCAGGGCGTTCAGCACGGCCAGCAGCACTACCACCCTGCACAGGCACACGCCCACTTCCAAGCACACTATGCAACAGCCACTGAAGTAACTTAACGCTTATGCCCAACATTGTACGGCAGCAGGAACCAGCCCAGGGCGTTCAGCACGGCCAGCGGTACCACCACACGGCCAGCAGTATAGGCACACGCCCCACTTCAACTCAAGCACACTATGTAGCAGTCAGTGAAATGACTTTCCATCGTGATCATTCAGCCTAGCATTGTACGTCAGCAGCAACCAGCGTGTTCCTGCACATGTTCTACTATTTTTACACACAATTACCGCCAAGATTAACATATTTTTCAAACTGTGGGGTCAACATTTGTATCCCCGTGTCGTTGAAGTGCGTCTCCTGGGATATGTGCGCAAATTCGACTGCCATCTGCAAGCCTCCGTCACTCTGATTCACATAATTCTGCCCGGACACGAATTACCTTGGAAATTAAGGAAAGAAAGAAATCGTTGGGAGCGAGATCCACACTGGAGGACGACATTCAAAGCTCATAACAGATCAGCTGCATCAGTTCCTCGGGAGGTGTTTGACCATTCACTCTATAATCTGGATCACGCTACCAGATATTTTTTTCATTTTTTCCTAGAGCGTAAATTTGGAACACTGGAACCTATCTCAGGAGTGAGACTTCTATGACTTAGGGATACTCGTATCGGGGTTCATCCCTCGATATGATAAATGATAGAGTTTTGTTGAAGACAATGTGGAAAAAGTGTAAGTTTGTGCTACATTAACTTTTCTCATTGTTGAAGCCCTATCAAAATTTACTTTCTGCATGCCTATTGTACAGAAGTGACAATATATATATATATATATATATATATATATATATATATATATATATATATATATGTTTCTGCGTGCCATAATAAGTTCAGACCACAGGAGTAGGTGTTATTAAATTTGGCACGAATACTTTTCAGCAGCCAAGAATAAAAATAGAATAGTTACACCAAATTTGTGATTTTTAAATTATTGGTAAAATGTAATTCTCAATTCATCTGGGCGGCATTGTTGCCGAGTTTCTCGGAGTATGACTGAGAGAGCGGTTGGGGGGGGGAGAAGGGGTGAGCGGGGCGAGTGGGGCGGAGCGTGGAGAGCGGGAGGACCAGAAAGAGCGAAAGGGGCCGAATTGGCAGGGGAGGCGTGACCTTGTCAGAAATGCTGAGCACGCATAGCAGACGAATCTGCTCAGTAGATGATTAGTGCTAAGGCAATTCGCAAGCAAAGCCTGTTACTCATCTAGAGCGAAGTAGTGCGTTGGCTCACCCGAAGGCGACGAGGGCTGGGTGGAAGGCGAAGGGGTCGGCGGCGGCCTGGCACGTGTGGGCGGGCACGCGCACCACGCCGGCGCTGCCGTTGGCCAGCAGCGCGTCCAGCGAGCGCCACGTGCACGTGGAAGGCACGCACGTGGCGATGCGCTGGCCCATGGCGGCCGCCAGGCAGTAGCGGCCCGCGAACGCCTGGGAGCGGGCGCGCAGGCACTGGTCGTAGTCGCCCAGGTGCAGGGTGAGGCCGCCCAGCAGCGGCTCCGGGAGCTTCGCCGTCGCGTCCACCACTGCGCACGCGTGCACAAACACTCACTCCAACGTACACTCATTCATTCACTGTTTAGTGTTTACTAGCGTTTAACTAAAAACTTAATGTGCAGTTTGTGTTCAAAAAAACCATCAAGATGTTTATATTATATAATTTATTAAACACAATGACATATTATAACCTCAAGTATACATTACGCACTTTATACAACTGATATATATATATATATATATATATATATATATATATATATATATATATAGAGAGAGAGAGAGAGAGAGAGAGAGAGAGAGAGAGAGAGAAAGCTGTAATAGTATGTATGAAAACTGTAATATCTGTAATAATATATAAGAAATATGTAAAAACAGATATAATATGTAAGGTCAAAATTCATTAAAAACATTTACTATACTAATACTGCACAAGTTTGTTTGTACTTGGCGCGTCGACTCGTGTATGGGCATTGGCCTATCAGTGACATCTCGGCCTCGTGTCCATGGGTTAAGGGGATACGTGTAATTGGCACGAAGACATGTCCATACCGTATTATGATGTTCTTAGCCTGAGAAATGAATTTTCGCATCATCGCACAGAAACAAATTCTGGGAAATTGCAAGGAAAACGCCCACTATAATCTAGCCTGACCGAGTATCGATCCCGGGGCACGTCATGGAAAGCGAGTACGCTGACCAAAGAGATGAGCCGCTACTCGGTAGTACTGCACAAGTGCCTTCATAAAATAACAAAAAAATAAATTATTACAATTTGAATAATAAAATATTTATTAAATAAATTGTAAAAATAAAACTAGCTTGGTCTGCTAAGTATTCTGAAGAGTAAAATTTTATGATTAGAAGCTATTAGTGCCTTAATAAAATATCAACAAACAAAAAATAAATGATTACAATTTGAATAATAAAACATTTATTAAATCAATTGTAAAAAAACTAGCTTGGTCTGCTAAGTATTTTGAAGAGTAAAATTTTATGTTTAGAAACTATAAGAGCAATGGTAGAAAGATGGAAACTCCTAAACCAGCAGAGTCGCAGTTGCATTTTCTTCTAAGTACTACCCGTCTACGATAACCAATATTTCTCGAGACGGCGGGACGCCCGCGCCAGAAAATAAAATAGCTAAAATAAATGTCGGATAGATTAGAATGTACTCGGCTTCTGACGGCAGGTTTTTCCCCCTTCAGGGTTTTTTTCCTGAGCCGTACCTTGTGGTCTCTTTTCCGCGGCTTTGATGCGATGAAGAGACCATTTGGGGTGAATACCAGAATTCGAAAGATTAGAACGCGAAAGGATGTAGGTATTGTAATGGCTTAAAGCCCTTCGGCCTAGCCACATAGGATCAGGTAATCTAATTTCTTTGTAATAATTACCTATTAAATAAATAAATAAATAAATATTTCTCGAAACTTGACATAAGTTAAAAACACGACACCGATACTTAACGCGCCTAAACGTAATATTCTCAGAGGTGTTGCACACTTTTTGTTGTTTAATTAACTAGGGCAGAGCACGCTGACCAAAACAGAACGCGTCCATCTAAACACGTCTTCACGTGTGGCACAGCGGGTCGTCAGGCCGAAATTTGTTATTAGCATGAGAAAAATATGTTGTTTTTTTATTAAAAACTAATAAAATGATCAAACATTTCTGGGAAATAATTTCAATAAAATTGGAAGAGGGAAAGACGGAATTATTTTGTTTCAAGAAATACGTGTTATAGAACAGAATCTGTAAAAATATGTAACGAAAACGTGACAATTTTATAATCAAGTTTTATAATCGAGTAAGGATCGCAACCATTTGCCAAGATGACAATTTGGAGAATCGTTATTAGAAAGGCTTAAAATATGACTTGTATCAGAGTCCAAACTCTTTATTATGTTATAAAATAATTTTGTTTCTGATGATTTCATTCTTAAACAAGATAGATGTCTTACGGTGTCGGAAAGAAATCTGTCTAATAACCATATGTTTACTTCTCTGTCACAGAAGGAAATTGGTTTTCTTTGAAGGCTTCTTAATTGGATGTTGTGTGAACCTGCGTCCTTAGGCAACAGAAAGTGAACTACAAATTACCAATCACGTTTTGAATAACATGACTTTCTTAAAAGAATATGCGGAAATGTTTTCTTACATTCAGAAGCTCGTGGAACAGTTACCGCTACGTATTTATGTGTTCTCTTGGAATTCCAAGAAAACAATCTTAGTCAATAGGAGTGTCCACTCCCAATGTTTTTAAAACTTTTCAAATTATCAGAATTATTTTTTTTACAAAATATCACAGAACATATGGTATAATTAGATGATAATTAGATTAGATATTGAAGGTACTAAAAGCGTGCTTTGTTTAAAAGAAACTGTTTTAAACATATATGAACAAATTTTGAAGATCATATACCCTGTTTGTCAAAACATTAATACGAAATTTATCGTTTTGAAATCCGAGATAGTAGTGGATGCCGTTCTGCATGACAGCGACATGCCTAGGAAGAGACCACCACTCAACAGCAAACAAGATTGAAAAGTCTATAAATCCCGCAAGAAAAAAAATCAAGCTAACTCGATATCCTTAGAATTTAACGAAATTAGTACAATTGGAAAAGCAAACCAATAACTATATATAACATCCTTTTCATCCGGTTTAAAGACAAGTTCCGATTCTGGTGGAGGGACTTTGGTTTTTAGGTACCATAAGGTGTTCTTTGATCGATGGCTATAGAAAACGTGAGAAATTCGAGGCTCAGTACATCGAATATGTTGTTTACGATAAATTCAGATACGTATAATATATTTTGTTTCGGTGTGTGTGTGATTAAAGAAGGCAGAGACTTATTGATACGTCTTTGCCTGAACACAGCGCGCTTTGCTCTGAGAAACTAGAAGTTTCCTTCGGATAACTATGGCTCTCAATGCAGATTCAAAGGTGCTCGTGAAGCTGAGATACAGAAGCAGCAACGAAACGCCGCGGGGTGAGAGGTTTCTAAATCTGTTAAGTACATTCTTAGCATCTAATTGTAGGGAAAAAAGGATGACTATCAGTGTACTACTATATTTCTACTGCAAATAAAATTCTACTGTTCGCGCCAGGCAAACAAGAAAATCACTCAATACTCCTTTTATTGTTGTGCGTCGCAATGTCGTTTCTTTTTGTCAAAAACTGAGTGATAATAGTAGAAACTTTGTGATTATTTGTTGTTTTTTTGCAAAGTATTTGAAGAAAAATGCGCTATTTCTGAGATCATATGTGTGTAGGTAAGTACCCATGGTGAAATTTCTATATACGCTACATTTTTAGCACTTTAATTTATCAAGTATCTTAATAAATTATATTTGAAAAATGTTTTATTCAATTATAGTTATTAATGAATCTCAGAAAAAACGTAAAATTAAATAGTTAGCTCTAAATTTATTTCGCGAAAAAGTAAATACGAAAAATGTTACAGAAAGCTTGATGAAAATTAACATGAAAATATTTAACTCCTAGCCCTTTGCACAGTGCAACAATCGGTTTCGTTCATTCTACACAAGCGAAAGTCTTTGGAAACCTTTGTCATCAACGGATGTCACTGCAGTGTCTCTGACCGGCAGGTCCTTGGGTTCGAGTTCCGACAATGGCAGGATTTTCGACACTAGCTACTGTACATAGCTAGGTCGAGTTCTGTCGCTGTCTGGAGGAAAATTCTAGCAGCCGGCTGTTCTGGTCAGTAGTTTCTTCGACCAATTCTAGGCGAATACCGGAGCAGTATCAGTATGTAGGCGAATACCCTATCAAATGGGCAACGGAACGCGCGCGATCTTTCCTTCCCATTCCTTGTCCTACCCTTACCTCTTACACATACACTTCCCTGCACTACCACACCACACATGCCGGGAGACTGGTCGGGAGCTTAGAGCTTGTCCCGTCTTGGTCGGTGCCCCGCTGGTGGGGGATACCTTGTTGGGGAAAGCCCCGCTAGCCGACGGTAGGCCGGAGCCGGATCTCGTCTTCCAGCAGAGAAAGATCACCGCCACCTCCAGAGCAAAAACATGCACTACGCTTACAGGATTAATGTCCTAAGCCTTTATCGCGCCAAGTATCACTAGTAATCAATCAATCAATCAATTAGCGACCGATCACGACGCATGATTCACGCTCTGAACTGCGTCTGTGGTGCACAATTGAAGCGGTCGGGAGAAGACAGTGCTAACGCTCATTTCATAACAATCCAAACAAATGGACTAAGAATGACTTCTAAAAACAAACATTATGATAGAAATGCTGGACAAACATTTTCATGGAACTACAGTAGGATGTATAACCCAGAAATGAATATAGAAAATAAGACACGTCTCATTTTACTCAAACTTTGCTTTTCCTATTTAGTAGATTAAGAAAATACAGAATTTACATTGTTTTTGTTTTTTATACTTCTATAGTTCTTTATCCCTTCACATTAAACCGTCGGTTTCATTGGACGGTACGCTGCCGGGACACTTGCAAAACTCGTTTGAATTTGAGCGCAACATTCGTTTATTTTCAGCCTTTCCCTCAATACAAATTTTGCGTAGCTGAGGATAAGTGATGGTGATAGGTAAAAAGGTACAATATATATATTGACAGTTTCGTAAAGTGCGGGATTCATAACCCTCAATATTGAAGTCTGACAATAAACTTATAGGATGTGTGAGCAGAATGCACCAGATTATAGAAACATTCAGATCTAGAATTAAAGAACGTGGTGTGACAATTTTTTGCATTAGTTGAATATGCCTATGAAGTATCACATTAACCATGGTTCTTGTACCGAAATTATAATGACATTGGTTCTATGAACTACTTTAATTTTCGCATAACTCTTCCACAGTTGTTAAAAACATGGACAAAAATCCCCCAAAAAATGTTACTTTAGTACTAACGTGGGAATAACGTTACTTTAGAGAAGTCTAACCTCTGGTCAAAGCAAAAAGAAACTGAGATGTGCTCTTGAAGGTCGCAGTATGAAATAAACGTGTTTTTGCAGAAAATGCAGTGTGTACTTTTATCCTGCATGTTTCATGCAGCTCCTACTTTCCTCTCAGAACATATAGGCCTTTCAATTTTCTTTCTTTTTGGTTCTTACCTCCAGTCTAATCTAAAACCTCGTTTGCCTCCGACCTTTTGAAAGCAAGCATGTTTCTTGTCTTAAGCGCCCACGACACAACGTGTTCATTCAAGGCCAAGATCTGTTTGTCCATGTGCTCCGCCGGCACAGTGTAAGTGTCCAGTGTACAAAGCGAATATATCGGACAGGCTATTTTTCGAAATGTATTAGTCAAAATATTATCTTAGCATTTATTTGTGATAAATTAACAATTAGGGCTCCCTGCATACCAAGGTTGCTTTGACGCGCGTGAAGTAACGCGCGTCGTAAAATAACACTATTATCTTATACGAAACGGCACACGAGCGCTTTGGCCGTTCGGCATAAGAAACAGTGCTTAACTACGTCGCGCTTTAATTCACCTGCGTCAACATAACGCTAGTGTGACACAGGTCTTACACTGTTACTAGACTTTCTTGAATTTCAAAAACAATTTTGTTGGTTATGGTTATTATGTGCCATAACTTTGCACACGCGTCAAAATCAAAATATAATAATGATACTCCAAAGATGGTTACAATGGTGACAGTGGTGAAGAGATAATACACGGAATTTTTATCCTGAATTTCGTGATGTCTCTGTAAATTGTGTTACATCTAGTAGTCAGATTAGAATCTTTTGAGGTTAAATTTGGCACCTACGTGCAGAGTATCATCTCGTTGCACCTCACCAGCGATTAATTACATTTCAATTTCGAAGGTAACTTTCTTCTTTATACGCATGATCTAGTATAATTGGTACTGCTCTAATATAAGTTAAATGTTTCTTCCTCTTAGACTAAAGAATACTTTGAAAAATCTAGTGTTCTATTCTTCACTTTACGTACAACGTGTAAGCAATTTATGGTTCTATTGGCCAATTTATTCCCTAAATTTTCGAATTCTTTGTTTCAGTGATAAGTAGGAACAGATTAACACTGTCACATTTTAGGGACAGTTGCTTCATCTGGGTCGTGACACCGTGTGGTGTCGCCCCTACGCCTTGTCGGCATATCGACTCAACTTATCAGTTGAACGTGACCTTGTTTGCAGACACGTCGAATTTCAAGCTGTGTTACGTTAACAAAATTGCGAAGGGTTTAAATTCGCTTTATTGTCTTTTAAATTAACAACATAATTTTTAATGTAAAAATTCCAACAGTAATGTTAAGTTAACATTCCCATGATCATGACAAATTAAAATTTGTCGATTAATTTTAAAAAATTTAAGCACTTTTTAGCTTCTAAACACCTTTTCTATTTCAAACATAAGAACGTTAATTACTGTGTTATCAACTAGTTTTTATACAAACAACTAGAAATGTTTAATATTTTTAATTACTTACAATTTTGAGGCCTTCTCTTGAATTTTAGATTACATTTTACTTTATCTGAGTTATTGTGTATAGACTTACTAGATTATCATCGATGAAAACCTCCACAGCACGGTGAAAAGTAAGTATGTAACAACCCTTTTTATGAAATTCATAATGTGTTTATTTTGAGAACAGTGTCAAAATATCTTCAACGGCGATATTCAGCTCTGCAGGCCATACAAATCTTCCAACTTTACTCGTTCTTTAAAACCACTCTACCATACTCGGGTGAGCATAATTACCCCAGTTTACCAAAATCTTTCTATTTGGGTCACGTTCTCTTGGAATCGCGTGATTAGTGATACTGAATTGAATATTAAAGATTAAAAAATGTGTAAATCCGTACTTTTCGGGGCCGTATTTGAATCAAGGATCACAAACCGCTTGTGAAGAGAGCTCGGAAGAAAAGTATTGCGCAACTTCCTGTTGTCAGAGAAGGCCTTCAGACGCATTCACTCATGAGAGCCAGCGTTTATTTTGATTCAAGGACCGCAAAGTTCGTGTGAAGATTTGAATCAAGGGGCCACAAGAATGTGAAGGGCGCCCCGTGCAGCCAGCGCAGGCCTTTGCATGCACTCACTCATGAGATCCCAGTTCTTGATGTTAATCAAGGACCACAAACCGTGTGAAGATTTGAATCAATGGACCACAAACTGCGTGTGAACGGCGCCTCGATCAACCAGCGCAGGCCTTTGCATGCACTCACTCCTGAGAGCCCAGTGCTTGATATGAATCAAGGACCACAAACTGCGTGTGAAGATATGAATCAAGGGACCACAAACTGCATGTGAAGGGCGTTCCGTAAAGCCAGAGCAGGCCTTCGCAAGCACTCACTCATGAGAGCCCAGCGCTCGCGCGCCAGAGCTCCGTCCATCACTCGGCGGATGTCCCCGGCGCACGCGGCGACGGACGAATCGTTCCAGAAGGCGGCGCCCGCCGCCGCCTCCTTCAGCACCTCGAACACGTTCACGATCTTGGGCTCCGGGTCGTCTCGCGGCCCCTGCATGGCGATGGTGGCGACTGGGGGCTCGCGGCGCCGGCGCGCGTATTTAACCGCGCTCAAGGTGTTTCCCCTCCCGCCCCCGCGCGCTTATCTATCACCGGCCGTGCAGCCAGCGCACCGCCACTCTCCCTCCCGCCCACCGTCAGGGCTCGGCGTGGGGAGGGGCGGTGTCCAGTCAGGTGGCGTGGATACTTCGGTTTTATTTTTTGCTAGGAGTCACAGGTAGCATCCATGCACACTGGCTCAAAACAATGTTTGGCCTATAGTCAGATTACCCACACTCAACACGCCTGCTAGAACAATCCTCTCTTATATTATTTCAGTAGAGTAGATGTGTTTTACGGTTTTCACATGTAACCAATGTTTATAAATAAGGTCCCTAAAAAGGTAATTTCACAGAGACGTGACGAATTGCACTTTAACTTTAAATATATGAAGGATTTGTTGACAAAACGCATCAAAATATTCATGTCAAATGCCAACCGCAACACTTGAGGAGCGTTGTTTAAATCGTAATTGTTGTACAACTCAGAAAAATCTTCTAGAGCATTAAAAATTGTATTTTGAGGCCTTAATCCATAGGATGAAGCCTTCTTGGACATTCTATTACATTTTTGCTGGTTTGGCACTTGTCGATTCTAACCCACCGAATTAGAGCCATCCAAAATCTGCAACCGTATGTAAAACTAAACTAATTACGTGATAATATGTGCGATTTAATTGCACGGACGTACCTCTCTGTTGGGTAATAAAGTTAAATAAAAATAATTTGTATTGACAACGGAGTATTCTATTGTTATGTTAAAATACGTCCAGTTAGTATAGGGTCAAGGAGACATATAGAACAAGTTAGTCGGAGAATTAGAGGGTATTGAAGAAAACAATATCAGTGTGCCATAGGCTTAATATGCATATGGGAGGATAGAGAAGACTGTGAGGTTTAACATGCGGGAGTTCTCGCACGGACTCGCTAGTAAAATATTATTGCAAAAACAGTTTAAATATTGTTTCCGCAATAAATACTCATACACTGCATAATGTTCTTTTCTGCTTTTACATCAATGACAAATTTGCGGTAGAATGACCAATGAATATCCAGTTTTCCAATGACCACCAGAACTTGTAATTAATACTATACATTTTTCTCTTATAAACGGTTCCAAATCTTTTAACTTTTTCCACGGATAGAGAAAAGATCTCAAAAGTGGCGTCAAGTAACATTTTCGTTGGGCTTTTTGAACTTTTGAAAATTGCGAAACTTACTGAATTATTACAGAGTGTATATGCTGTTTCGGTGAACAACACCAGTTTTCGTAAACTTTGCTATTATTATTATTTTTTTATAAACATTAGCCCACATGGTCTGATGCAGTTGTTGGGAACGTGAAGCAAGAAATGTTATTACATAGACCACTTCCTTTCCATCGTTTGAGGCAGCCGAAGTGTCGTTCGATATGTCTCGGTTTGTCAGCCTTTTTATGTCCTTCTAATCTATTTTTTTAAATCTCTAAGTAAGAAATATGAAACAAAATTTAAAAATTTTTAAAGCATTGGAGATACCGCACTAAGCTAGTTGTAAAATAATTAGTTAGAAAAACGAGATAAGATTTCGATAGATTATTAGAAAAGCATTGCACATATCTTCCTAAGGCCGATAGTATTTTATTCATAAATAAATTAATTGGATTGTTGGTGAAGTAGATCCCTTTTTTTTGATAAATAAATAGAGATATTGTCAGGTATCAATATTTATACCTGACAATATCTCTATTTATTTATCAAAAAAAATCATAAATAAATACTTTAATAAATGAAGAAGGCGCTGCTAATATTTTGTCGGGCTTCCTGTTGAAGAAATCAAATCCAGCTATGATTTTCCTATTTTCACAATATAAAAATGAACGATTTAGAACAATACAAAACTTTTCTAACAATAAGCACAACATCAAGATATGATCAGGTTCCGTCTTTGACTATCTAGTAAACATATCTTGCTGCTTTTTCTAAAAAAAATTCACTTCTAAAATATTTCTCGTCTAAAAATTGTATTATTTCATTTTTTCTTTCTTTGTAGTGTAGCACAAATATTAAAACGATCAAAACGTATTAATTAGCGTAGTCTCTCACCCATATGTATGAATTGCACTCACTCACGTGTCTTGTAGCGTTCAATTTTTGACATGACACACACATAGACTAAGGTATTTCAGCTTCATTTATTACTCTCGTAATTTAAACGAAATAATGCTTGATATTCTTTCTTACGCTAGAAGAAGAGAGATCTGGATCACACATTTTCTTGAGAAATGTCAGTTGATTTTCCGTCTGGAACTTGCATTTCCGTTAATTCTTCCAGACCCAACAGATACTTCTCTTTCTCAGACCTCTGGCGATATTACTCATCTTCTCGAACGATTTGAAATCGCGTCTGGATTTAATATCTGTATTTGTACTTAGCCATTTTAATGTCCCGTAGAGAACAATTGGACTCAGCGCCGTTGGATTCCGGGGTTCCTACAACCAGGAATCCGCCAGGTGTCTCGGGTTCGTTAAACCGTCGTAACTTCACGTAGTTAACGAATATGGCTAGTGACGTCGATTTCGCGGTCGTAGACTTCCAATAGAACCTTCCCAGCTTTCGCCAAAATGATCGAGGGAAGCCACGAACACCCCTGTCAGGATGCACGGCTCGGGAATTGAACCTGCACCTCCGAAGTCAGATCGCTACGTCTTAAGCCACTTCGCTCGGTGGTTTAACGTAACTCGGTGGTTTAACGTAACGCATCGACAACCCTTCCCCTCCTGGTAGTTTACAATACCATGTTTGTAACACGTATGAATCAGTATTGGTCCCATGTTGCAACATTGCAGTTGACATGATACGTCCTGGATATCCTGATACTCCACGTCGAGTGAGTTACTCACAAATGGATCACATCCTTGACATCCTTCTCCAGTTCTTTTTTCCCTTTCTGCTATTTCCCGGTAAAAATCTTCACGTATTACAAATAGTGATAGTGAATTTTTCGTTACCGGCGTAAAGGGTACCGTTGCCAAGGTGTAAACTCTAAGGCATTTTTGGGAGTTTTTGGTTTCAGGCGTAGTAACCTCAGCTTCCAACAAGGCGTTCCATACAAATTGGACACACTCCAAGTACCCTCCAACTCAGTTACAACAAACAATCGAATCAATAAATAATCAACTGAATAGTACATTCCCAATCAGTTAAATATCTAGGACCGTATGCAAATACACAATTAAATTATTGTGACCACATAGGAACCAACATTTCCCCACTCAAAACTACCCAAATTAAATTTAGTAATAAAAACGTCCATTTCTTTACAACACATTCTTCCATAGACTTATGCAGAACCATAATAAGACCCGTAATTACATACTCCTGTTCGGTAGGGATAAATGCTGACAAAACAATTACCCACAAACTCCAAATTATCCAAAGTCAATTCCACAGAACCATAAACCACGCACAGTGGTTCACGATGAACATTCATCTACAAAAAGGCTTCCGCATAGAACCATTACATCACCACATATCATACATACATCACTTACCGAATTATACTCCCATAAAATCCTACTTGCAGTATTAGTAAACCAATATGAATGCAAATAATTTGTCAAGAAGCTGTAAGGTGTTACTTATATTATGTATGATCGAATTATCTTCAATATTTTAATACAAAATGTGTAGGTTTTGTTTTTTTGTAATCAATATAGCCATGCCAGAAGGGATACTTACGAACCATTTCTTTTTATGCATAAAGTGTGTTTATTGGTGTTGTTATGTTATGTGAACTACTTCGTTTATGTTTAAAACATTTTTAGGCAGTACATAGTATTAGGTTAGAAAACTATCTTATTATCTCAGTATGTGGTTTGTATTACTTAGAAGTAAGGGACGTTCTCATCTCTGTTGTCTAGGCTATCCGGGGCGAGCCACGTCACTGACATAGTGGCTAACGTTTCGGCCAGCGTATTGTGGCCTTCTTCAGAGTGTAGTTCTGAGCACAGCAGTACGCTCTGAAGAAGGCCACAATACGCTGGCCGAAACGTTAGCCACCATGTCAGTGACGCGGCTCATCCCGGATAGCCTAGACAACATAAACTCCGGCCGCGAAAGCCCTCGCAACCGTTCTCATCTCGTTTTCCTTGATTGCTTCCAGAAAATAATTGTTCTTTTTCTGAAAACAATATCGTTCTGCGATGTACTGTACATTACTTTTACTTTCCTCCGCAATTGAGGAGCTTGTTTTCAAAGGTACGTATCTCTGTTTCCGTTTCTTTTCTAGTTATACGTGTCAATATGTTATTTTCCTGGCGATTCTCCATCAGCTGTCAAATATTCAATTCACAAATTGCTATTTACCTACGGTAAACGGTATCCTAAAACCGTTGAATTATTTCTTGAACTATACGGCTGAGAACGTTGTTTCTGAAAATTGTGTTTCAAAGAGTTACACTGAGAGTCACTTCGAAAATACTCCCTTTAATTGAGGTAGTATACCTTGAAATTGTTCACATAGATGCTTGTTAACAATGTTTTCTTAATCTTGTTTATTATCCCTCACTTTAGCCTGTAAATATGTCCAAAAGAGCTCTGATCGATTCGTTAAGAACTAATTTCGTTATCCTTATCTGATAATGCCAGATATTTTTCATCATATTCATCAATTATTGTTTATTAATTTACATTTACGATGCTGAAAAAGAGCATTTATTCGATGTTTACTTATGACAACAACTTATCCTGCAAATCAGTTTCTTAAGCTGTATCAAACTTACTTTTTTACAAGCCGCACATAAATGGTGAGGAGGTCAGTGACGAACAATAGAATCGATTTTACCTAAAGGCTTAGGTAAGAAGTTAATATTTCTTTGATTAATTGACTGATTAGTGATTCCGGGCGCATCAATTGCTGTCGTTAGTCCCGTAAGTATAGTGAGTGTTTTCCTCGAGAGGTGGCTGTGATTTTCCCCCA